AATTAATATTTCTATCTTCTGCTTAATTTTATCTGCTGAAAAATCCCATATTGCTGATAAACTGCTGAGCAATTATTTAAAACATTTTGATGCAAAAGGTGAACCTAGCAGCAAATCCAAAGTGTGATCTCTCTTGATCTGAGATCTCAGCAGAGCAGATAAGAGCAAGGCCAGATTCAGATGCAGTCTCAGACGGGCAAACTGTAATGAAATCTACTACAGAAATTTACTAAATAAATACATCAGTAGGCTGAGCTCTTTCCTGACTTGGTACCTGGGCAATGCTCAGAAAGTAAGACAGGCACAACGCTTCTCAATTAGCAGTAAGGCTATGGGCTTCCTTTGCTGGTGGTTCAGATGATCACCAGCAAGCACTGGATCCAGAGAAAGGACTGGTTGTTAGTTAGGACAGGATCAAGTGAGTGATAGCCTCATTTCCTGTCCGTTAAATACACATAAGCTGGCACAGCAAAGTAAGTTACTCACATGTGTCAGTTCTACTTCAAATAAAAAAGCCTTAGGACAGAAAACTCCTTTTCCTGATGCTTTCCCCTTGTCCCTCTTCCTCCAAAATGGCTGCCTTTGTCTCTTACTTGTCCTCCTACACACTGGAGATCGTGTGTCTATAGTGTCTCTTAACTCAGTTAGCAATTGAAGCCTTGCCTGAGAGTTAGGTGAAACAGGTCACAGGTTAGTCATTCTTGCACATCCCATAGAAGAGCCATCAACCTGCAGGCCAGTCACTCATGGGAACTAAAAACCACCCAGAAAACACCTACTAAATTACAGCAAATCAAATGCCATCACTGTGACTGATGATAGTGCTGCCCCCTGGTCATTTATCTTGTCTAAATTGGTAGGTCAAGGGAGCTTTTGTCCCTTCAGAGAAAGGAGGAAGGCATCTATTAGCCTTCAGTGAGATGTATAACTCTGAAAATTCATTTCTCCCTCAGCAAGTATGATACCCAGTGACAAAGTAAAAGCACAAATTTAAAACTACATCATCCCTAAATCTCTCCTGTAGTTTCAAATGAATTCAATATCCTTCACTTCTGCTTGGAAGCTGTTAGGGCATTAGTAGTTCGAGCTCTATTAAATAAACGCGGTCTCCATTTTGTCCTTGAAGGGAAAACAGCGTAAAATCATTGCTCTGTCTCTGGTAGAGTATACTTGCAAAATGTTTTGAGATACTTTGGAATAACAGACACTAAATGTAGGTTATGTTTGCACTTAACACTGCAGGTTTTATATAAAGCTTAAAAATTAGGACAAAACATTATCTTTTTCAGACATACTAATAAGTATCTCCAAAATGTAGCTATAACCTTAGATTACGTGCAAAAGGAAAGTGCTCATTAAGTTGCTCAAAGAATAATATTTGGCATTTTTCTTGTGTTTATGTTTGTTATAGAAAAGCAACCATTTCAGTGTTGGTTGAATACTTCCGAATGAACGCTTGTGGTTTGCACAGACCTCTTAAAAATATTTATATTTTGAGCTATAAATTACTTACATTACTGTGCTTTGCCACGCACTAGTAATGTTGGTGTTCCCCCATAATTTTCAAATATTAGAGAAAAGTTGGTTACAATATCCTCTCATCAATATCGTCCTTACCTGCAAATTGCAACAAAGGCTGGCTGTCATGGACATCTATCAAAACTGAAGAAGACTTTCAACCTAATTTCCTTTTATTTAGAAGGAAAAGCAAGTTAGGTTGGGTTGCTGTGCTTGGAGCTTACGGAAAGTCACTTCATCAACTTCTTACACACAAGTACTATATCACCAGAGAGTAGGAATGGCAATTTAGTTTCACAGCAGCTTTTTCCTTCAGCTACTGGAAATGGAACTTACACAGCTGTCTGCCCCGTGAGCAAGTCAGGCTCAGTATGTCACACTGCAGCCAGTGGCTCACATGGGGTTGTCCTGCAGCCAAACTCTTCCCCAGGCTATAGCTAGCTGCAAGACTTCTTGCTTGGTTGGTTGTGTTTTAATTTTGTTGGTGTTTTCTAGAGGAGAAGCAGAGATCTGATAATATCTATCATGCTGCAAGTTCTAGCTTACAGATATATATATATGCATATTATTACGTGTAACGAATATGCCCCTGCTGATTCACTCTGAAGTTGTTTCTAACCCACTACAGTTTCTCACTGCAATATTTGGTGATTCCTCTTAAAAAAAAAAAAAAAAAAGCAAGGAAAAAAAAAGTAAAAAACATTGAAAATTCAAAATTGTCCGTTAATCAGCCAGGGCAGGATTTCCTATCATTACCCCATCTCCAGGGAATAAAACAGCAGACTGCTCCCATAGATAACAAGTACAGCATTATCCTTTCTGCCCCAGAGGAGCAGCAGCAGTGTTTGCAGCCCCGTTTTCACATGGTGCCCTCCTTCCACTTGGACAAGAACAGCTGATCTTTGAACAGGGGCACATTTTGTGCAGTAGCACTCTCATTCTCCAAGAGCACCTCCCTGCTCCAGGCCATTCGATGCTTCTGCTGGTGCTCAGCTGATGTTTCCCAAAGTAACAAGCTGTTTCCATAACTTCAGCTGCTCTCTGGGTCTCACTCAAGATGTGATTATCACCCTCTGACCTTCACTACCCTTCAGTGAAAAGCAACATCTCACAACAACTAGGAAAGAAAGACTGTAATTAAATCAAAATGATCTTCACCTCTGCCCCATGAAGGTGTGCGGTGGTGTGCAAATATGCCATAAGAAGCAGAAACTGAGCTGAGGTTGTTTCCATTCTTCATTCTTACCGATCACGTACTGATGATTTAACCAATGAAAACCACCCTGAGTAGTGTGCAGTGCTGTGGGACCCCTGTGTATCCACCTCTCTCTGCAGGGGTTAACTCAGGCTAATGTAATCTGCAGGGATCAGCATAAATTAGCTTGTACCGAGCTCCATGCTGCTGCAAATTGATTAATTTGTGAAGACCCGAGGTGGTGTTCAGCGCTGGCTCAGACACCTTGCTGATGCACAGATTCGCGCTGCATTGTGTGGTCCCACTCTAGATGTAAAGAGATCAGGCGGAGGGACGGGGACCCCCTGACGGAGCACTGGTTTTTAGGGCTAACCAAAGCAGAATCTCCTGGATTTTGGATCTAAGGAAAGCCTGGGTGGGGTCTGCATCTCCCTCACCACCGTGGCCTGCGGTTACAGAATTTGAGAACAACCCACAGAAGCAAGTGCTTTTTGTAGGCAAGCGCCTAAGAGCTGATAACTCTACATGCCTGATCCTCCCATTTATTTTTCCTCCTCGAGTGCCAAGCAGGGAGCAGATGGTACATTACTCAGCCTTAACTGGAGGGTAAGGAAGTGTGATTTGAAAAAAAAAAAAAAATCAGTTGGGACCCTCAGTCCATTTAGATTCTAAGCTCAAAGTTTATTTGTCTTACACAGAACTTGTACTTTCTCCCCTCTCAAATGCTAATCCTCTCCACACATATGCTCATTATGCAAAAGCATATGACAAACACCATCTGGGAAAATAAACAGCTCCTCAGCTAACTGCGCTGCTCCCTCCCCTTACGTCACCCACCTCTCTATTGTCTCTCCTATTTTTATCCACAAAACAGCAATCACTCAATCAAGCTATTAACTTAAATGTGCTGTCTCAGTCAAACAAGCTGCAGGTCCCAGACTGGGCAGTAAATCCCGCTCCATTTTTCAAGATGAGGTGCAACTTCATGATAATTTGAAAGCAGTCACAGCACCGAGAAAAGCAAATGTAGCTTTTAAAGGGCACTTGGTATCACTGAGGGATGCCAGTCCAGACCCGCAGAAGCCCAGGCTTGTTTTCCAGCTAGAAGGTTATGTTTTCTCCCCCGTGAAATATGCAGCTCTTGCCACAGGTTCTACCTCGTTTCCATGGATCCCTGAGACATTCTCTAAATAGAGGATGACATTAGCCAAGTTCAGTGATTTCTCTAACCTCAGTGTAGACGGGTAAGAAAAAGAGCTGTGCTGTCATTAGTCATGACAGATTCATTGTCTGCCTGAACATTAATCAAAAGAAATGAGGATCAGATATGCAAAAGAAAGCATTTGGCTGTCTCAGAATATTGTGTTTTGTACTAGTGGATTGAGAAAACCATCATGATTCAGCAAAGGACATGTCTATTTAGCTAAATTAAACAGAATCTGCACAATCCAACCATACTGTGTTGAGGCTAAGTAACCAGGAGACATTCAAAACACACAGCCAAGAAAGAGCCTTAGTGGCTGATGCTGTGATGTAAAGGTGGAGCTTTGTAAGTACCCTGCAAGAATTGTGGTGCCATAAACACTGCAATATTATGTCTATTTAGAAAAAATACGAGACAGAATTCAATGATGACCTTATCTGAGCTACAAATTCTTGTCAATTATTATATGCTTGTGGGGACACATTTATAGATGGCAGAAAGTCCTCCTCATTTGTCCTCAGAGACAGCACTGATATTGCCCAGCTAAGAAATACATTATACAGCTACAAAAGAGGCAATTTGATTTCATGAGTGTGTCGTTATTATTTTAAGAATAATTTAACGTAGGCAGAGAAAAGTAGAACCTATATAAAAAAAGACAGAAGTTTCCAGCATGTGCAGTACCAGCCCCGTGGTTCTTACTTTCTCCTGGGCTCTTTATTTATTTGGGGGAGAGTGAGACTGTTTTATTTTCATAGAACCATAGGATGGCTTGGGCTGGAACAGATGTTAAAGCCACCCCCAGTTCCAGGCCCAACAGCTCAGGCTGCCCAGGGCCCAATCCCACCCAGCCTTGAGCACCTCCAGGGATGGGCACCCACAGCTCTCTGGAAAGCTGTGCCAGGGCCTCAGCTGTGCCCTCTAAGCAAAGAATTCCCTCCCATTGACCCCACTGTGAGTTCCACTTCCCCTAAAAGACTGAGTCTGATTCTCAAGCGTGATTCGGGTGCTGATGTTGCTATACGTGTGATGTGCATGATGTGCTGAGCACACTCTGATGCTTTCTCTCTGTTGCCACCACAGACGAGCCAAGCTCCTGGAGCGCTCCCGCTGCCACCTCCCCAGGTCTGCAGGAAGTAGCTCTGTCCCTCGACGACATAATCTCACCATTATCCTCATCACACATAGCCCCACCCTCTGACCCTTCTCACCAGATAAGCCCAGAACCAACATGGGATATCAAGAGGGAACACGATGGAAGGAAACCAAAGGAGCTTTCGGTGAACGGCCACAAAAAGAAAAGGTTAGGAGAACAAAGAGAAAGGTCAGCAAGTCCTAAAAAGGCAGACAGGTCCAAGCATGACGAGCCTTCTTGGAAGGGATATTCGGAAGGCAAAACTAAGGTGACGGATGGTGGCAGGCTCACCTCGGAAAGCAGAGCGGTGGGACACAGCGTTATGATGGAGGCTGGCGCAAGAGAGCACGTGTGTGCTGGAAGCAGTGATGAACAGTTTGGGAGGCTGAAGAAGCCGGAAAGCAAGAGGGGAGGATCTCTTAGCAAAAGAGAAGATCACAGATCCACAAATACCAGTGAGAAGAAGTCAGCTGCAGCACCTGACCATGCCAAGCTTGATGCAGGTGCTACCAAGACATACAGTAGCAATCGCTGCAGCTCGCCTGGAAGCGATATGGATCACAGCCAGAGGGATCCTGATGGGAAACCCAGCGAGTTCCCCAGGAAGGGACATCTCCACCCCATTAGCACTCGCAGCACCAACACTACAGTTCGGAAGGCAACGGTCTCCCCGGGGCCGTGGAAAATCCCCGGCTCAGATAAGCTACCTGGCGTCCTGAAGTCTGGTACTTCTGCCATGAGCAGATAAGCACGGGACTGTTGCCCTCTAACTGTCTCAAATTGACGCAGAACATTCTTCTTAGTTGTTGTCTCACGTTGATTTATTTTAATTTATTTTAACTACCACACATATACACAAAGCATTGAGGGATGAAAACATTAGTGTGTAATTCCATGACAATGTGCACAGTATCTAATAAGTTCAAAAGCATATAGTCAACACGGAGATTTGAAATTGACCCTAAAGTCCCAGTTCCATTTTAGGGACTTTGGCAGCTACGGAAGAAACCAAAACAAATGAAGGACAGTACAACAGAGAAGGATAGTGCAGTGTAGCTTTAGCATATTTTTCCACTGCATGAAGGACTTGGATTTCATTCAAACTTTATATCAAGAAACTGGAACAAGTTAGAGCAATCGCAAACTGGAACATCGCCTTAAATAAAACTGCACGGAGCAAGCTGAAACTGAGAGAGAATCTTTTCACGGAGCTAAAATGTTGTAAATAAATTGTTCTTGACATATCTAGACAGGGGTTAAAGGGTTTCTTTGAAGCATTTGGAACTGTACGCCCATGACACGTCTCCACTGTCACCACTTTGGGATAGTCCACGTGATACCCTGTAGCACAGTTCGCTGGACGCTACAGGAGGAGTTGGGAATCTAGTGGATTAGTTTCTGTGATACCATTTCTACTGCCATTTTTGTGAACCAACCATGTTTCTGTACATTGGAAAGGAGTTAGGGTGGAGTTGTATTTGCAAATTATTCTCCAAAGCAATTTACTACAGGTTCCCCAATTCCTGCAGAGTAGCACACAAGCCAGTTGGTCAGGCTCAAAACTCCAATATCCCCAAGGCCCTTGCAATGAAAGGAAGATTGCTACAGAGAAAAAGCTGCAGTTTCCTTAAGGAAAGGCCTTCCCCTCCTGCAGAAAATGATAGTTTCACTCATCAACAGTGCTATGTTTCATACCCACCCCCATTTCATTAGGATGCTCTCACTTTCCATTCCCTCACTTTGGCAGAGCAGGTGTCTTTGAGGCACATAACAGTAATTAGACAGAAATACATTTTTTGGTGCCCTCAATCTGTAAATTCAATATATTTCCATTTTAAAAATGGTTTACATTTTATCATTTCTTCCCTACCTCCATTTTTTTTCTTTTAATTTTAGTCTTTCTTGCTTGTCTGTTTTGAATTTCAAGCCTTAAGTGCCAGGTAAACATTCCAGTCTGCCTTCACAGGAGATAAGTCTAAGTTCAGTCAGTCAGTCACTATCTTGGTTCAATAAGATGCGTGTGTGTACGTGTAAGTGTGCATATGCTTATTTGTCTGTCAAAATTAAAATAAAATAAAAAATCCTGGGCAATAGTATATTGGTAATTAAAAGAACAATCACGTAGTCAAAAATTCGAAAAGATTGTTCTCAAGCAATCTTTGTTCCTCACATGCTCTGCTGAAACATTAGATTAAGATTGGCTTTGTTCCAAGAAATCAGCACATGGTTGTATGTCTCAAACATTGCACTGGACTGAGAAATCTATAGGCATGTTTCTTCCTGTCCCATTATCTGAATAGCCTCAAGTAAAGGATTTTGCAGCTTTCAAAGAATTCTTTTCTTTTTTTTCTTTTTCTTTTCTTTTCTTTTTTTTTTTTTTTTGGAAAAAGAAATTCCATGTATAATTTCTGAAAAAGCACAAGTCCACGTAGCTGTTTATAAAACTATTATTTAATGAAAAAAAGAAAAAAGAAAAAAAAAAAACAGAAAAAAAACCAACAAATCTTTATCCCCTGAACTAGAATCCAATATAATTCCAATATAATTTGCCATTAATTTATTGAATCTGATTTTGGACAATGCTTCTGTAGTGTAGATGCATGTCCCAGTATCTTATTTTTATGTATAAAGAAAGCAAACAATGAAATCTGAAAAAAACAGTGGAGATTATGCTTGCATAAACTCTAATTTGCACAGTTCACAGCTACTCCTTGTGCAGTAATTGCTTTATGCGGCTGTAATCGATAACCTGTGAAGACAGCACATCATCTAAACCCCATTCCAAATAATATTTCTGTGTAGTGTTAGCTGTGAATTTACCCTGTACAGCTCTATCTCTATAAATATAATTCCATGTATTAATAGTCACAGAAAGGCTGTAAGTGAGCAACTATTTTTATGAAACGCACCACTATGGATAAATTAACTTTTACAGAAATCTTGTTTACTGTATGATATTCTAAACCACTGTCAAATAAAATATATATCCAAAAAATCTTTTTTTTTTTTTTTTTCAATTGTGCATGGTCTGTGTTAATTTTGAGTGACACGCTTCGGTGTTACACCGAGAAACATCATTTGCATGTAGATGAGTAGAATTAATGAACTACTGCGTGATAGAAATGGGAAATCTCCATTTTGATTTCTTACTCCAGAGAGGGGAACAATTAATGAATTACATGCAGACAACCAAACCAATTCTGTGTGGGCACAGTGAGGTGCAGGAGGATATACAGGTGCAGGGAATGTCTGCCTGGATTGAAAGGCACAAACTCGAATTTTCCTTCCAGTCCCAGGAAAATTGGGAACAGGGCGGTCAGAATCCCAGCATCACAGAGATGCATCCTGGGCATACACAATACAAGCAAAAGGAATTTTGTGGCTCTAAGTTCTAGTTAGAACCTGTAAATAAAAAAGGTTTGTTCACAGGCTGGGTAAAGGGGGATAATTTGATTTCCAGTTTACTTTACAGAAGCATCATAAGAATGTCAAAAGAACTGGGACCAGACAGTCCGTTCTGGAGCCCAATCCATCTTCCACTGAGCAGAGCAGAAACGTGCTCCTTACCTTCAGTTAGGCAAAATAAATTGCCACGTACAGACTATAGGCACTGTAAGTTGGGCTGTCTGGAAGAGTACTGATTTTTTTTCCACACAAATGTGACGTACAAAAAATATATGCATTTCCTTTTTCCTTAGAAATTATGTTTAAAAAGTAACTATTTGCCTTCATCCACTGAGCCTGTTTCAGCAAAGCTGCATTTTTCAGAAGATTGATGTTCCACATAAAGAAAATCAACCAGCTGAACTAATAACGTAATTTTTCATTCCAATAAACACGTAACAAATTTGAGTCTCTTTAATGCTCCAAAAACAGTTGTTGCTCCTTAAATAGCTCCATTTGCATAGCCTGAACTGTGAGCATGGGCCTGAACTCAGCCCCAGCAGCAACACAGGGAAACCTCTGATGCGATGTAGACTCACCCCTACATGCTTCTGCCCATCTCCTGTAAACAACATGGCATAGTGGCATAGTGTTTGCATTGTATTGTCATTCCTATAGCCCCTTTTTATATATGAAATAACACAGGAAACACACAGGAAACCATCAAAGGATGTGTTCTTCTCCTGACTGCTGCACTTCTCTCAAGATAAAAAATACTGAATCATAGAATCGTCGAGACTGGAAAAGACACATAAGGTCATCTAGTCCAACGATCCACCTACCACCAGCATTGCCCACTAAACCATATGGATCTTTTACTGAAAAAATGTCAGCAGTGGTTCCTAACCATCTCCTCTAAGCCCAATTTCTAATTTCGGCTGTCTTTCCCCAGGTCTAGGGAGGAAAGTAGAACTTTGCTTCTCATTATTCAAAATTGAACTTTTGCACCCCTATCAGCCACCTCTAATAAGCCAGTACTGTTTTATTAGTCTTTATTGCAGTATCCAAGCACATATGAGCTTTGGGCAAGGCCCACACTTGAGGTTGAACAGCAGATCATGTGGACAAGCCTGTGTTCCAGGAGTATCTTCATTGGATGTTACATGAAACAAATAAAGGTGGCATGGGGGAATGCAGTGAGACTAAAGTGGTCATTCCAATGGCATCATGGTCTGTCAGGAGCCATTTCCTAGACACAAGGCAAGCTGTACCATCTCTGCCCAAAAATTTCATTAAAAAGCCAGAAAAGAAATTTAAATAATGAGTAACTCCCATTTGGTCTTGCCAAAGATGCCATCTTTCCCTATAGAAATCTGCTGGACTGACAGTTCTCATCATGTAGGTACAGCAGAGTTCAGACTGCACTCGTTTCACTACATTATCATCCCCTGCAGGAGGGACATTTGTGGGCCACAGCCCACATGCCTACCTTCCCCATGTCCTCAGTGCTAAGGCTGCTAACACTTTAGCACCAATGCCACCAGTTGCCTGCCAGGAATTAATGCAGAAGTTCAAGCACCATTTCTCCCCCCAGTATTTTTCAACTCCCATCTACAGGGCAGCCCAACACTATTGCCAGGAATGCCTGATCTGCATCAAAGAAGAGCTTCAGCCTGATGTCCGCCACCTCCACTGAGTATTGTAATCCTAACTTAGCCTTCTACATCCCAGATGCCCTTGGTGCCACCAAATCTATCCTGAATCTCTCCTCCTCCTTCACAGCTCCTCACCAATTTGTTCTTAATCATACCTTTGCATTCAGTTCTGTCGCCTTTTAGTGGACTGATTCTTCCATTCTGTTTTCTCGTATCCTTCAGAACTTTGTCTTGCCCTCTCTCACCATGTGACCATTTACTGCTCACCCAATCTCTGCTTTCTCTATCTCAGAAGTTCCACATTAAACTCCTCTGCTAAATCATTCATGTTGGCCAATTCACTGACATACTCCTGTGTGTCATACAAACATTTAGACATGCCCGACACCTTGTTCTGAAGGCTAACCCAAATCACCTGCCTTTGTTACTAGAAACCAGCAGTAGCTACTGATTAAGACATTGCAGAAGAACGCAGCTCAGCTAAGGAGGACATCACCTTCCACATTTCTCTGTACTTGGAAGGAAGCTTTTTTGTGAAGGGGAGAAGTCTCTTGGTGCACTGCCATGGAGCTGAAAGATAGAAAAAGCTTTGGCCTTGCCCAGGGATGACTGATCTCATTAGGGATTTACTTCTGTAAATTCCCAAAAGACTCCTTGCCCTCTTTCATCCCCTTGACTCCTAGGATATTTTCTGTAATTGTTCCTGAAAGGGCTACACAGGCAAGGCAGGCTGCCTGCTCTCATCACTGAGAGAGAGCTCAAAGAGACCATCCACGTGGGGTTCCATGTCTATTAGACTCAGAGGCTCCCAAAGCTGTTTCTCCATCTGTCACATCAGAGCCAAACATCACCTTTACCTTCACAGCTGTCATGGAAACAGAAAGCTTTTTTAATTAGCCATTCCTCCCAAAGGAGAACCCTCCATCTGGACAGCAGCAGCTGTGCTTTGGAAAGGAGCAGCCTCAGACCTCAGCCATGCCCCAAGGCCTGTTCTGGCCCTGCTCAGCACCCAGGCCAGGCCATCAGTCTTCCCACTGCCCACCTGTCCATAGCCTGGCTCTGCAGAGACCTTCGCCATCCTGCAGCCAGCAAACATGCTCTCAGCCTGCCCTTCGGGGTCCCAGAGTATTTGTCTTGGTGTTTCTAACAGTAATGGTGTGATCTCACGCTATCCCCATAGCTGGTCCCTAAGCTTCAAGAGTGTGGGTTGTTTTTAATATGTCGTCGAGACATAGTAACAAAAGCAATACTGCTGAATTGCAACCAGTCTAAAAATGATGCTCTGTCCTTTCTACTTTTAGTGCCTCTGTGGCAATAAGTCATTCTACCAGTTTGGTTAATCAATAAAAGAAAGTTTTGCTCACAAGGTACAAATACATCAATTCTAAACACTTGGGGGAAAGCTGGAGCAAACAGACCCACCCTCACTCACAAACAGGGCCTGGAGCCCATCTTGCCCTCCTGCTCAGGAACTTACCACATGTCCTGTCTGAGATGGGTGGTTTTCCCTCTCAGAAAAAAAATATCATAGAATGATAGAATCATGAGTTGGAAAGAACCCCTAAAGGTCATCTAGTCCAACTGCCCTGAAATGAACAGGAAATAGAGTCATACATACACACACACACACACATATATATATGTAAGTATGTAACTTACACAGGAAGCTAGACTTGCGCAGGAAGCTATCCATTTTCCACAGATGAACCATTGTAAATATTTTAAACGTGAGAGATATCTAAACTGGAAAGAAAAAAAAAACACAAAACAAAACAAAAACAACAGGCAAACCAGATGGGAGGAGAAAGACGAGAGATGAATGTTCTTTCTGTGATGTGACCACTGGCTGACCTACTCAATTTTCAGCTACTTCAAGCTTTTAAGCTTGAATTAAAATGAAAATGTAAATTAATTAAAACTACAATCAAATAAAATGTGACATGTTGCAGATGTGCTGAGCTGCCCCCTCAGCAGGCTGGCTGCTGACTGCTGTGACATTTCTGCATGGAAGCAGCAATTGCACCCATCCATGCAGGAATGTCCCAGACCAACAAAAGGCCATCCCTGTAATACTTCTTCCTACTCCTTTTCCCCAAGGATTACTGCATGCTAACAAGGGATAAGCCTATTTCTTGTACAGAGGTGTTGCAGATGTGGAGACAGTGGGAGGAGAAGCTAAAACAGGACAGCAAAGTCAGCAGTACTGTGAGAGACCTGCACCAGGAGACTGCAGGAATGAGACACAGGCAATCATCAGTCTCTCTTCTCCTGGTAAATATGGGCCATTGCTGTCA